CCAATCATACAACAGCAACGATGAAATAGTGTAGCAGAGCTCTGCAGAGCTCCACCCACACCCACACACACACACACACACACACACACACACACACACACACACACACACACACACACAGTTCTGTACTGTTACGCTGTTGTGTTCAGTCACTGTTCTTATGTTGAACATGAATACATTTACTTTGTAAGTGATTATGGGACGTATTTCTTCTTTATATACATTTTCCTTCATACTTTATTGCCGTGAAATAGGTCTTAAATGATATTCAAAGTGGTCTTAAAAAGGTGTTAAAAAGTCTTAAATTTGAGTTGGCGAAACCTGCAGGAACCCTGTACAATAAAAAGTCCTGCGTTCAAAATGTTACAAGTAAAAGTACAAAAGTATTAGCATCAAAATATACTTAAAGTACCACCTGCAGAGGGATCTAGATTCAGGTGTTCTTTTCCCCATAGAGACCGCCTCGCTGCACATTATCCCTTGCATAAAGATAGATTGTGGGTCCCTTACAACATGTTGTACACAGTGGAAATAAACATTCTGGTTACCTTAACATCAGGGATCTTATACATTAAACTCCTTGTGAATCAAACCGTCACTGTAGCCTTACCTTACTGATCCCTCTTAAATTAGAAAACCACACGTTACTTTACCAGCAGAGAGAAAATTGATTATTAAATTATTAATGTGACTAATAAAGAGCAATTTGATTATTAAGTATTATTCTGTTGATCGATGTCATTACATTTGGTGAAAAGCACATAATGACTTGTTTATGACTCGTTTTGTCAAAGTTTAGGACTTGACTTGACCTTGCCCATCCTGACTTGAGACTTGACTTGGACTTGCAAAACAATGACTTGAGACTTGACTCGGACTTGAGCGCAAAGACTTGAGACTTGACTCGGACTTGCAAAACAATGACTTGGTCCCACCTCTGCTACATGGTGCGTTACTCCGTTACTGCGTTAGTTTTTATATAGTCAACAGCCAGGCGAACAGAGATGACTTGAAATGTACTTAGATACTTCCTGTGTCACATGCGGAGACGCGCTGTGGGCGTGTTTGTGTTGTTTACTAACAAGACTATCATGGCGGCGGCGGAGCTCAAGTCTAGTTTCTCCACCTGGAGATATTCTCACTATTTCACTTTTGTCGAGCACAAAGAAAAGAACGTTTTAGTTAAATGTAAGTTGTGTCCTGGCGGGTCAAAGATCCTATCTACTGCCCAAACCAGTCATTCAAATCTCTTAAAACATCTGCAAAAACAACATGCTGGGACGAAGCTAGTAGCTAAGACCACAGAGACTCAGCCGACGCCACTCCACCTCCACCTAAGCAACAGCGGCTGGATTTTAACCAAGGGACTGCTAGCCAGGGAAAAGTCGATAAAGCCATTGCACGGTATGTTGTAGAACACATGCAGGCTATTGCTACAGTGGAGTCACCCGCTTTCAGGGAGCTAGTTAGCATGATAGCATGTCCGGGCGGCACACGGCATATGGGACGGACAACTTTTTCCAACTACCTGGAGAAAGAATATACAAAAATGGAAAGCCAGCTAATATTGATGCAATCCAGATTGCATATAATGCATGTCAAGTTGATCAACAGATTGTATTATTCTCCAATGCAATAACAGTACTGAAATGAAGGCTATCCTTATAGCCTTCATTTCAGTACTGTTATTGCATTGGAGAATAATAAATGGGAGCCCTTTTTGTAAGTAACTAAAACGTTACTTTTCACAGCAACGCATTACTTTTTGGTGTAAGTAACTAGTAAAGTAACTGCGTTACTTTTGAAATGAAGTAACTAGTAATGGTAACTAGTTACTGGTTTTCAGTAACTAGCACAACACTGGTGCTGAGGGAGAGGTTAAAAAGAGTAGTGAGCGGTGGAGCAATAAAATCTGCAGCTATCTTTGAAAAGAAAGGTTCTACGTTGTCCGGGCCAGCCGGTTTCTTAGGATCTAACTTGGTTAAAGCTTCACGAACAAGATCAACAGTAAAAGGGGTAAAACTAAAAGGGTTTTCCAACACACGTTTTTCAGAGTCACATACTGTAGTGTTCACAGAAGCAGAGTTAGTGACAGAATCAAAAAGAGAACCACAGGACACAAAATGCTCATTAAAGCAATTTAGCATAGTAGCCCTGTCCGATATAGTGCCAGATGCTGTGGTAAGGCACGGAGGTAGCTCATTACGGATATCGCCGGTGGATAACGATTTAATGGCTTTCCAACATTTTCCGGGATTATTCAGATTCTTTGTGGTTATTGACAGATAGTACTTTGATTTAGCACTTTTGATTTGCGATGTGAAGCTATACCTTAGCTGCCTAACACGCAGCCACTCTACCTCTGAGCCTGATTGCCTAGCCTTTGCCCAGGCCTTGTTTCTCTCATGAAGGAGACTGGACAGATTAGCAGAAAACCAAGGATTGTCTCGTCCCTTTACTCTAAATGTACGCAGGGGTGCATGTCTATCAATGATCTCCATAAAACCAAGATAAAAATAAGACCATGCGGTTTCTACATCAGCACAAAGATTGATTTTACCCCAATCAAAATCAAACATCATGCACAAAACCCTGCTCCACAAAATGTTTTTTGTCTCTCTTAATGATAATGCGAGGTTTAACCTTTTGGACCTTAGTGTCCCTAATTGTGGCTACAACACAGTGATCGCTCAGATCATTTGCAAATACTCCCACAGATGAATATTTATGGGGAACATTAGTTAGAATGAGATCAATTAGGGAGGATTTATTAGGGGACTTAATGTTAGGGCGAGTAGGACTGTCAACAATCTGAGTAACATTTAAAGAGATACAAAGGTTTTTAAAATCCTCTGACACTGCAGTTAACCAGTCCCAGTTAAAATCTCCAAGTAGCACTATTTCCTTGTAGTCTAGTTGTGATAAAATATTTGCTAGTGAAGACAAGGAGTCCTTGACAGCTGAGGGGGGTCTGTAACAGCCCACCACCAAGACCTGTTGACCCTTTGCCACTTCTATATTTATGGCTAAAAATTCAAATTGCTTACTGATCGATTTGGAAACTAATGTGGTTACACTGAACTTATTCTTAACATAAATGGCAACGCCACCACCTTTATTAGGCCGGTCGGTACGATACACATTAAAACCATTTAAGGCAATGTCAGAGGCCAAAATAGATTTGTTTAGCCATGTTTCTGATAAAACAATGACGTCAGCGTCAGTTGAGCTCGCCCAGATACGGACAAAATCTAGTTTACCTAACAGACTGCGCACATTCAAGTGGATGAAACCCAACCCAGACCTAGCTTTAAAATCAGCAGGAGTAGCGATCTGACTACTACTACTGGGCGGACCAGGGTTAGGTTGTACATTTCCTGACAGTAATAACAACAAAAAAAACAGGCATCTTTTCCTCTTAATCAACACACATACATTGTCATCTAATTTAGAAACACCGGAAAAGTCTGCGAGAGTGTGATTTGAGCTTAAGAAGCAGTCCTGAAGAACCATCATCGCAGGAAAACAAAAAAGACAAACATATTTTGTCGAGCAGATTGTCTGTGACAAGGCAACCGGTAATTGTTTGTGTAACACATCCGAACCTTTGCAGGGGATGCCCACTGCGGGTGGCAGAACAGACCTGAATCCAGTAGACTTCTCAGAATGACTAGAGATCTTCTCATAGTCCAAAACAGTTAACAGGCACAGCAGAATCCCGATATGGGCCATTTTCCCAGACCAGCACACAGTATCCGCGATGATCCTGGAGCAAGATCAGCACAGAGGCAAAGGACAGGCGAAAACAGCAGCGTGGAAGCGCTCCGGTCCCTCCGTAGTATCCCCGGGGTGAAAGCAGGCCTCTGCAACAGCAGAACCAGGACAGGTGGAAAGCAGGCCCCAGCGGTGGTAAAATACTCCTCCGTACAGCAGCACACGTCCGGTGGAAGCAGGCCAAGCCCGAAGCGTGGATCCACTCCGTCTCTCCGCGACAACTCCGGGGTAAAAACCTCTCCAGTACAGCCGTATTCTACAGGTGGGAGGAGGCCTCCGTAGATCGCAGATCGCAGAATCGCAGGCAGCAACAGGTGGAGCCGCTCCGTCTCTTCGCGACGAGCAGGCCTCCGTAAATCGCAGATCGCATGCAGCAACAGGTGGAGCCGCTCCGTCTCCGGAGAAAAAAACACCTCAGTACAGCAGTACTCGACAGGTGGGAGTAGGCCTCGGCAGATCGCAGACAACTAAAACTACTACTTGTATAAGCAGGGATGGCTAAAAGTTTGTAAGCAGGAGAGCTAGATGCTAACAGATGCCAGATGCTAACAGGTAGTGCGAGCCTGTAGAAATTGCGACTGCTTCCAAGTTACAGAAAGAGAACATAGGTCTGATTAATATTAAAGACAACGTGCTTCACCTTCAATACAAAGTGGTGACTTCACATCTGAAGCTCTGCTCCTTCTACACTAACTCGTGATGTGCAGCCAGACAGATACAAACCCACAGAAACTGATTCAACTTAAGATCACAGAGTTCACAAAGTTCACAAAGAAGCAGCACCAGAGTCTGAATAAATAACACACAATGTAAGTTCAGAGAACAATGGTCCTGCTTGAGGTAGTTCAAAGTTTCATCATCTGTTCAGACCTGGAGAGGGTTCAGAGGTCAATGTCAAAACTGATGTAGATACTTTTATAGATGTAATATATAAAAGTATCTGTAATAATGCATCAGAACAACCTCCTTCATCTCCCTCACAGCTCATCAGTGCTGACAGCATCTTCACTGAGTCATGGAGCACAGTGAGAGTCTGTGGAAGCTCAAACACTGTCCGTCACACATCTACTTTCTCTGCTTTCTGTTATTCTTGTAAAATATTCAGCAATTTAGAGAGAAATGTGAACTTATTAAAATATCTTTGTACTCAGGCAAATCATGGAATTATAAATATATCAATTATAAATACTTTACAAAACCACATGAACTGCAGCCAGTGATCTGACCTCAGAGTCTTCAGTCTACAGTTTGGACTCTTCAGTCCAGAACTCAGCTGCTCCGCCTCCTCTGAATCCTGCAGACCGACTCTCATCTCCAGCTCTCTCAGATTGGAGGCCACGACTTCCCAGTCTAAGAATCCACTGTCAGGAATTCTGTTATAACACATATTACAGAATTTGTTTATATAAAAAAAGGGGAAACAATATATTGACTTCATGCATTTGAGGAAAAACATGTTGAATATCATGATCTGATTACCACTGGATGGTTGAGTGTGATCTGATCCCATGTCTGTCACCTCTTTGCTAGCTACCTTCTAGACTAGAGTCAACATAAATCAGATATTACTCTGTGTCTAATTTAACGATAAAGAAACTGCAATCATTTCATAATAACTTTACTCCATTTTATGACATATGTACAATTATTCTGGATGTTGTGATCACATGTTGCTCTGATAAAACATCCTTCATATGTTTTTGACAAGGAAAATGAAGAGAAGAAAAAACTGTACCATTTTGAAATGATTAGAATAATTGTATTAATTCAATTTTGCTCTCACAGAATGTGAAACAGCTAAAAGTTGAATAGTGTTTATTTGAAAGGCTAAAATCCTTATCTTCACTGATCTATAAAGTTAATCACATCTGGACTCACACAGCCTTCCTGCAGTTCCTCTCAGCTGGAATCAGTCTCCGTCGTCCCTCCTGTGATGTTTTGTACTTCTCCAACTCATCCAGAACCTCCTCTGACATCTCCAGCCTGTAGGCCAGAGCTGAGCAGTGTTTCACAAAGAGTCTCTTCTCTGATCTGTTCTCTGACGTCAGGAACTCTGTGATCTCCTGAAGTACTGAGTGGTCGTTCATCTCTGTCAGACAGTGGAAGATGTTGAGGCTCCTGTCGGGAGAAGAATCATCACTTCTCATCTCCTTCAGGTTGCTGATGGCTCTCTGGATGATTGCTGGACGTTTGTCTGTGCAACCCAGCAGGCCTCCTAAGAGTCTCTGGTTGGACTCCAGAGAGAGGCCGTGGAGGAAGCGGACAAACAGGTCCAGGTGGCCATTTTTACTTTTGAGTGATTTCATCATGGCGCTCTTCAGGAAGACATCCAGGGATGGGTAATCCTGATCACTGCTAAACATGTTGTTATAGTCTCCCTGCAGGAAGTCCTTCAGTACCGCTGTGTCTCTGTTGGTGTAACAGTGCAGCATGTAGACTGCAGCCAGAAACTCCTGAATGCTCAGATGAACAAAGCAGTAGACAGTTTTCTTGAAGATCACACTCTCTCTTTTGAAGATCTCTGTACAAACTCCTGAGTGCACCAAGGCCTCGGTGACGTCAAGACCACAGCGCTCCAGGTCTTCTTGGTAGAACATGATGTCTCCTTTCTCCAGATGTTCAAACGCCAGCCTCCCCAGCTTCAGAAGAAGCTCCCTGTCAGCCTCCGTCAGCTGCTGTGGACTGGTCTCATGTCCCTCTTCATACTTCTGCTTCTTCCTCTTGGTCTGGACCAGCAGGAAGTGTGAGTACATGTCAGTGAGGGTCTTGGGCAGTTCTCCTCTCTGGTCTGTAGTCATGTGGTCCAGAACTGCAGCAGTGATCCAGCAGAAGACTGGGATCTGACACATGATGTGGAGGCTCCTGGAGCTCTTGATGTGAGAGATGATTCTGCTGGACCATTCTTCATCACTCGATCTCCTCCTGAAGTACACATCCTTCTGTGCGTCAGTGAAGCCTCGTACTTCTGTTACCCTGTCGACACACTCCGAAGGGATCTGATTGGCCGCTGCAGGTCTGGAAGTTATCCAGACGAGAGCCGAGGGAAGCAGCTTCCCCCTGATGAGGTTAGTCAGCAGCACGTCGACTGAGGGCTGCTGAGAGACATCAGACACAACCTCATTGTTTTTGAAGTCCAGAGAAAGTCTGCTTTCATCCAGGCCGTCAAAGATGAACAGCACTTTACAGACAGCCAGCTGCTCTGCTGTGACCTCATGTAAGGTTGGATGGAAAACATGGAGCAGCCTGAGAAGACTGTACTGCTCACCTTTGATCAGGTTCAGCTCCCTGAAGGAGAGCGGGATCACCAGACTGACATCTTGGTTTTCCAAACCCTCGGCCCAGTCCAGAGTGAACTTCTGCACTGAGAAGGTTTTTCCAACTCCAGCGACTCCGTTAGTCAGGACCGCTCTGATGTGAGTCTGTTGGTCAGGTGAGGCTTTAAAGATGTCCTGGCACTTGATTGGAGTGTAATGGAGGGTATTTCTCTTGTAAGATGCCTCAAGCTGCTTCACCTCATGTTGGGTATTAACCTCTTCACTCTGTCCTTGTGTGATGTAGAGCTCAGTGAAGATCCTGTTGAGGCTGGTTTCACTTTTATCAGTTCCTTCAGTCACTTGTTCACATCTCCCCTTCAGACTGAGCCTATGTTCATCTAAAACCTCCTGCAGACCACGTTCTGCTGAAAGAAAAGGAAACGTGAGAATAATGAACATTTTGTAAATGAACTTATATTATGTACAACACAACAGGAAGAATCCTGTTTTCAGGCATGAAGACACCAGGAGACAGAGGTCAAGACTTACTTTGTACTGTTCTGGTCTGACTGGCTGTCTGTAGTCCAGCTCTGGTTCTGGATCTTTCTCCACACTGGGGACATGAGGAGTCTCCTGATGGAGGTCGCTGCTCCCAGTATGAGGTGATGCACTGTCTGCAGAACCAGTGTCCACAGCTGGTAGAGACTGGATCCTTCAGGACGTCCTGACACAGAGCACAGCTGGACAGCTGCTCCTCCACAGGAACATGACTTTTCCTCTTCCCTCTGTGGAGATGAACACATCCTTTAGAGCACATTACGGTGACTGATTGTTTAAGTTCTTTATCTGTAGATGATATTTCATCCTGATATTTAGTTATTCATATATTTATGAAAGAAAACACCCTTCTGTCTGTAGCATCATCGCCTACAGCATGTTCACTGTACCTCACAAGTTGTACTACGGCTAAATTAAACTGGTTTATGTAATAACTAGATAATGATTCCAATTTGTAAAAGCAGTTAACACTTTGTCAGGTCTGTCCACAACATGGAAAGCAAATCACTTTACAAATGCTAGTTAATGAATGGGGATTAGATTGAGTGGAGTGAGACTTAGCTAACTTTGTGGCTGCTCCATTAACAGTCAAACTAACAATCAATGGTTGATACACATACATTTTTAACTTCAATTCAATATGAAAAACTGCCAATATTTTCCTTATCTGATTCAAGTACGTCTGCGTTTCTATACTGAGCTCTACTGAGTTTCTATACTGTGGGCTACTGCACTCATGTAATCATTAAAGAAGAGTTTAAAATGATCCGATGGCATATATATAGAATATATACAGTATATATACATATATATATATCTATATAAACAGTGTAGGAAATAAGTATTTTATCCCCTGCAGATTTTGTAAGTTTACCCACTTTCAAAGAAATTACCAGTCTGAAATTGTAAGTGAGAATATCAAAAAGAAAATCCAGAAATTGACAATAAGAGATAAAAATAGATTTGCATTCAACTGTGGGAAATAAGTATTTGATCCCCTTGCAAAACATGTATTATTACTTGGTGGAGAAACACGCTTCTTCTAGGTCTCCAGACTTGTGCACATCTCAGGAAGGATTTTGGTCCACTCCTTTCTGAAGATCTTCTCCAAATCATTCAGGATTTTAGGCTGATGTTTGGCATCTCGAAGCTTCAGCTCCCTCCACAGATTTGCTATGGGATTAAGGTCCGGAGACTGGCTCGGCCCCTCCCTCACCTAAATGTGCTTCTTCTTTAGCAGCTCCTGTGTTGCCTTGGCCGCATGTTCAGGTTTATTGTCCTGCTGGAAGACCCATCCATGTTCAGTGTCCTGCCTGAGGGAAGGAGGCCTAGATTTCACGGTACATGGCCCCGTCCATCCTCTCCTTGATGCAGTAAGTCGTCCTGTCCCCTTAGCAGAGAAACACCCCAAAGCATAATGTTTCCACCTCCATGCTTGACGGTGGGGATGGTGTTCTGGGGGTTATAGTCAGCATCTCTCTCCCTCCAAACCCAGCGGGTCGAGTTGATGCCAAAGATCAAAATGTTGGTCTCATCTGACCACATCATCTTCTCCCAAGACTTCTCTGAATCATTCAGATGTTCATTGGAACATTTCAGACGGACCTTTCATGTTCTTCTTGAGCAGGGGGCCTTGCAGTGTTTGATCCATTATGGTGTAGTGTGTTACCAATAGTTTTCTTGGTGACTGTGGTCCCAGCTGCCTTGAGATCATTAACAAGTTCCTCCCGTGTAGTTCTTGGCTGATTCCTCACCTTTCTTATGATCATCAATACCCCACAGGGAGAGATCTTGTGTGGAGCCTCAGACTGAAGGTGATTGATGGCCATTTTTCTTCCTTCAATTTTCAAATAATGGCACCAATAGTTGTCTCCTTCTCACCAAGCTGCTTTCTGATGGTCTTGTAGACATTTCCAGCCTTGTGCAGTCATCATTGTCCCTGAGGTCCTTAGACAGCTCTTTAGTCTTGCTCATGGCGGAGAGGTTGGAATCTGATTGATTGATTCTGTGGACGGGTGTCTTTTATACAGGTAACAAGTTGATATTAGGAGTACTTTTTTAAAGGAAGATTACTTATTTAACCGGTCTGTGGGAGCCAGAATCCTTGTTTGTTGCAAGGGGATCAAATACTTATTTCCCACAGTTAAATGCAAATACTTTTGTATCTTTTATATCATGTCAATTTCTGGATTTTCTTTTTTATATTCTTACTCTCAATGTTTATATAAAACGTACCATTACAATTATAGACTGTTCATTTATTTGTAAGTGGGCAAACTTACAAAATCTGCAGGGGATCAAATACTTATTTCCTCCACTGTATATATGTTGGTCAGTTCACAGTAGAAACAGACTCTTACTTTTTGTCTGGGGGTCCAGGTTTATTACTGAAGACTGGAGGATCATCTTTAGACCAGTCACTCTTCATAGACAGACAGCTGGGGACTGGAGACTCTGCTCTCCATCTGTGGAAACAACAAATGTTTAACACATATCACTAGTTCTTGTAAAAAGCAGCGTTTGATTTCAGTTTTGATTTTCTTTCCCCCCCAAGATTTTGGTTCTTACTCAAAACTTTATGTTTTAAAAATTGTGTTTGTGGGTTTCTGTTGTTACAATTCTTTGTGAGAGTGAAAAGTTCTACATGTTCCAAGTTAATTTACTTAACCAAACACAAAGTCCTACTTGTCGAGTGTGATAATGATTTCACTGTTGTTACGATCTCAGGCACTTAGGATGTTGGACCCAATTGCAGACAGGGAGACAGAGGTAAAGTATTGTAAGATACTTTTTTTTTTAGTCGGATCCGAGGAAAGGGTTAGATGCGTCGGACCAGTCCTCAGGACAACTTGTGAAAAGCTGTAACCACTCCGGCAACAAACTCCTCAACCAAGGCTTTTCGGCCACCTCCATTCGTGCCCTCTCGAGAATAGCCTCTTTGTCCTTTCTATAAGAAGTTCCTTTCCACTCGGCATGAGAACATTGAAGGGAAAAGTCTAGATCGAACAGATCTAACTCAAAATCTTCCATATCCGCTGGGTCCATATTCTGGTCAGTTCGTTCTGTTACGATCTCAGGCACTTAGGATGTCGGACCCAATTGCAGACAGGGAGACAGAGGTAAAGTATTGTAAGATACTTTATTTTTCCATGACTGGCAAAAATGAACAAAAAGATAACCACCAAAACTCTAGTCGAGATGACAAAAAACAGAGAACAAAAAATGAAGGCGCTCACGAAGTGAGGAATCAAAAACCTTTCATGAGTACCAGGAGCATAGACATTACCATGACAATAGACAAGACGAACTGACACTGAACACTGGGAGACAGGGGAATTTAAACACAGGGTAACAAGACACAGGTGGGAACAATCAGGGGCGGGGCTGACACTGATGAGCACAGGAGACACACAAGGAGTGACAGGTGAAAACAATCAGGAAATTAGACACACCAGGGAAACTAACGACAGACATGAAAACACAGGGAAAAGAGACCAGACAATATACAGGGAGGAAAACATGACAAGGAGAACGGAAAAACACCCACACCTAGACATAGAAACGTGACATGACCTAATAATCCTGACAACTGTTGGAGTTTATTTACTATCGCTGATGATGCCAAGGAGAACAGCGTCACAGGCGTGCAAAGTGTGGACCCAAAATGGCTGAATAGCTGGGCCTATATACTGACATCATCAGGTTCAGACAATAATGACGTGACAAACCCTCACCGGGGTGGGAAACAGACAAAGGGAGGAAGTACGCGACAAACACGAGGAAGACAGACTATCAAAATAAAACCCCAGAACTAAACTAAACATATAACATGAACGTGACTAAAACTGAAACTTGACAAAAATGTAACGACGACGGAAAACAAACAGCAAGAGTTCAATCAAACTTCTACAGTGTACTTAAATGCGTTTCTTTACTGTAATCTACTACATTTATTTACAGCACTGTGTTGCTCTACCGTAACTGTAATACTCTGACAGAATATGTGGATAAGCAATGCTTTTTATGATTGGTCCACCTGATGTCGTAGTAACAATATGCATCCTCAGCCAGACAGACAATCAGACATTCAAACAATGTGTGAAGTTCACCTTCCTTCAAGACATAAGCCTGTTTGTCTGGTTTATTAATACATACTGAGTATTGGCACGTTGTCGTCTGGAGTATTAATTGTACACATAGTACAAGAACAAGACAGTTACATACTGTGTGCGCTTTACAGTTTTTCATTACTGAACTATACTGTAGAAGTTTACTGTATTCTACTGTACTGTAATCTACTTCACTCGTATAATTATAAAATTATATTTTAAATTGTCAGATAGCATTCTAACTAAATCCTCTTCAGGTCTGATCACAGTAGAAACAGACTCTTAGTTCACACCAGCCTAGTTTTGTCCCGTTGAATCGAACCCTGGTGTGTTTAACCCAGTGACGTGCAGTCAGGGGAGGCAGGGGAGGCAGTGCCTCACCAGCCATGAACCTCACCGCACGTCACTGGTTTAACCCCTTGGTGCGGTTTGTTTGGGTCGGTGTGAACACAGTCCTAGACCTCTGATGTGATGTAAAAAACCGGACTCTGGTTCTCCTAAAACAGGTGGTCTCGGAGTGCTTGCTAATGAACTCTGGAGCGGTTCATCGCTGGTGTGAACGCAGTACGCACCAAAACACAGGAAGCGTAGTATTTACGAGTCACAAGAACGCGGATGTCTTCCAAATCACTCAAAAAGAGTGAAGCAGAATGAAGTGTTGAACAGTGTTGTGTAAAGAAAAAATGCTCCGTCAACTATACATAAAAGTCAGAGCCACCTGTCGTGGATGAAACCTCCTCCTGACTGCAGAACGTCTCATTATATGTGTTATAATTAGGGCTGTCAAACGATTAACATTTTTAATCAGATTAATCACAGTTTAAAAATTAATTAATCATGATTAATCACCATTCGAACTATGTCCAAAATATGCCATTTCTTTATGTATATTGTTGTGGGAATGGAAAGATAAATGAAAGAAGGCGGATTTATCCATTTAACATACAGTATGTTTATTATAAAAAAATTCTGTGTGTCAAAATGAAAGACAGCCCACACACCTATCAATCATGGCTAGTGGAGTACTTCGTGACCACAGAGTGTGAACGTTGTGATCAGCTGTTTTAGCGCAGTTCTCCAGTGAAGGGGGGGGGAGTCTCCCTCCGCAGCCGGTTGGCGTAGTTTTGGCACAATTCCGTTGTACAGACCGACGTTAACAGCAGCCCTGTCTGTGCACACGGAGGGGCTAAGCCATTTCTTGGTATGGGTGTAGCCTAGCCCAGCCATACCCATAGCCAATTTATAATTTGTAGTTCAGGACCATGGACAATGCAGCTTCCTTGCATTGACAGTTCTCTGTGCTGAATTTCAGCTGAGTTTCCTTTGCCTCATTTTTAATGTTGTGACCTGTCTGGTTTAAATGAGTGTGTTGCTGCTTTGATGAAGCCTAATTTGATAAAGTTTCAAATTAATTTCTGAAATATTTCGTTAATAAATATTTCATGAGTAATATAGTTGTCTTTGTCACATTTTATTTGGCATTAGTAAATAATTATGCACATTTACAGATATTTTACATGATATGAGTGATAACAAGTGTTATAAGGGCTATTTTACACAATAGGTGTGCCTTGAGATTTTTACTTGTCCTTTGGTGTGCCTTGGGCACAAAAAGTTTGGGAACCACTGCTCTAGATGATCACATGGCATAACAACTGAATCCTCTTCCGGTCAGTTTACAGTAGAAACAGACTCTTACTTTGTGTCTGAGGGTCGAGGTTCATTACTGAAGGATATAGGTTCATCTTTAGACCGGTCACTCTTCATAGAAACACAGCTGGGGACTGGAGACTCTGCTCTCTGTCTGTGGAAACAACAACATGTTTAACACACATCATTAGTTCTTGTAAAGGGCAGCTTTTGATTCCAGCCCGTTTACGTTATTAAAGATTTTTGGACTTGCTCTGAACTTTCAGTTTTTAAGTCGTGCTTGAGGGTTTCGGTTGTTAGAATTCATTTGTGAGAGGGAAAAGTGTTACATGTTCGAAGTTGATTTACTTAACCTAACACAAAGTCCTACATCTGGAATGTGAGAATGATTTCACAATAGTAGATTATTGACTGTTGCTGATGATGCCAAGGAGCACAGCCAGAGCTCAGTTACACCTCTTTACTTTCCTCTTCTGGTTTCTTTACTCTAATGTACTTTGTTTCATGACTGTACTCCACAGTGATGCTTTACTGTGTGTATATACTGTGACCTGCTACTCAGATCAAACCAGACTCCTCTTCAGGTCAGTTTACAGCAGAAACAGATTCTTACTTTGTGTCAGAGGGTCCAAGTGTATTACTCAAACCTGGAGGTTTTCTGGACACTGAAGATGTGTCCTCCTCCTCCTCCTCCTCCTCCTCCTCCTCATCATCATCCAAATCTCTCATGGTCTCCATTCTGAGAGATGAACTAGTAACCCTGGAGACAAATACATAAACACACACACTTTATAATGCAAGCATTTCAATCAAATCCATCATAATGATACATTTTGGTTTAAATTTGTGCTGTCAAAAAAAACGTGAATGGTTGCAAATAATCTGCAAACTTTAAAATGTCAAAGAAATTAACCAAAAAATAATCATATTACCAAGTTTCACCCAAACTTCCTTCGTAATTCCAGAGGGTATTTTAACATGAATTGCATGGCAGTGCTACAAGCTACATGTACATTTAATCAAGTAATAATAATAATTATAATAATAGATGACGTTTTTATAGCGCCTTTCAAGGGACCCAAGGCCGCTTTACATGGTGAACAAACAAACAAACAAAAGGGTCAAATAATAGTAAAAGTAAAAAAATAATGTTTAATAAATAGCAGTAGGAGTGGAAGCAGGGGGGCTGTGATGGGTTAGGGGTCAAAGGCCATGGTGAACAGGTGAGTTTTTAATGATGACTTATTACCAAGTACTGTACTTAAGTACAATTTTGAGGGACCTGTACTTTATTTCAATGTTCCCCTACTTTGTACTTCTACCCCACTACAGTTCAGAGGTAAATGGTGTACTTTTACTCCACTACATGTATTTAACACCTTTAGGTACTTTACAGATTTTGATGAATGATGTGAAATATAATCAAGTGTTAAATCAGACTTTAGTTCCACCTGGAGTAAATTCACCAGCTACCCTGCAGTATACAAAGTCATTCAAACTAGCTGCACCTTCACCAGCTTTGAGAACACTTTATGATCAATCATTATAAAACATATCATATATATTATTCTGAAATGGACCAATCTGCACAATCACTACTTTTACTTTTGGTACTTTAAATATATTTTGATGCTGATACTTTCTACTTTTAGTAACATTTTGTATGCAGGACTTTTACTTGTAAGTAACAGAGTATTCCTTCCTACACTCTGGTAGTTCTAAAAGATCTGTGTACTTCTACTTTTACTCAAGTACAAGATCTGAGTACTTCTTCCACCTCCAGAAATCAGTAAGAGCTGTAACTACCTCGGTGTAAAAGCACATTTAATCCATGACAAATGTTGAGCACTCGTTCTTTAGGTCTGGTGAAACGGAGGGGTGGCATTATGCTGAATCCAGGAAATGGACAGGAAACTACTTTCGGAGCAGATAGTGCTCGCAATATGCTCTGACGTCATGGCAGTAATTCAGAAATCATCATAATTTAGCTGAGATGTTATAATAAAGTGAAAACCCCTCTTATTTCTCTCAGCAGTTTTTCATGGACCGCTTTATTAGACTACAACACGCTTTTTATTTATTTTATATCTCTCCAAAATACAAGTTAATAGGCCTACTAATATTTTAAACTTCTGATTTCTGAAGATTAATCAGTTTTGTTTTAAATCAACTAACACCACTAGTGTAAACAACAACAAATACGTCTGTATAGTTATGTAACCACGATGGCGCAGAAACAAGGGCGTGAAAGGGGAAGTTTAGGCCTACAACATTTCAATATGCCACATCGGACTCTAAGATGTTGCTTTTGATCGAGACTGTGTTTTTCTGAGATAAAGTAAAACAGTAAACTGTGAATGGGAGTCGGAGGCGGCGTGTTCAGTATGGAACCCCACACTTTATTTTCCATTCGTTTACAGAAAGGTAGGAACGTCTGCTACCTGCTACTGTCAAGCTAGAATGAATACAACAACACGGTACACTCTCTAACAGGTCCGTGGTGCAACACACAATATATACAACGGTGAATTGTTTCCCATACTGTTCCACCACAAAACATTAATTGTTCAGACACAGCCTGGTTTTAACACTCACCCTGTTTTCTTTCTGCTGCTCTGGCAGTCTGGCAGTCCGTCTGTTTTCTAAGTTTCACTTTCGACGTCCCTCCCTATTGTATGGAATCAGTTTTGTGCCATTAAGATAAAGCAACATTTTCTCTGAATCAAGCAAAACGTTTAAAAAAAAGTTTAAGAGAAAAAAAAACTGAGACAAGCAAAATACATGTAATTTCAAAAGGAAAACTATAAGCTCCAAACGAATAAAGTGTGTAATCATGTAAACTATAAGTCTTTTTTCTTTGTTTTAACATAATATATTTTTTGCAGTTCTCTTCAGAATCAGAATCAAAAACAGGTTTATTGCCAGGTAGGTTCGCACATACTAGGAATTTGACTTGATGTCATGGTGCATACATAAAATATAAAAAACAAGAAATCTAAAACACAAAATCTAAAACACCGTAATAAAATACAGTTAAATAGCAATGAAATACAAATTAAATAAAGCAGTAATTTACATGGAATAGAATGCTATGAATGCTTTTTTGCATATAAACTATGAAATGTGAAATCAGAATATGTGCAGAAAGGAGTATGACATTGTGTGCGTTAATGTAATGCATATAGTCTATGATGTGGCAGAGGTAAAGTGTCAGCGGGGGGGCCGGGCCTTGTTTAAGAGGCCGGTAGCAGAGGGGAAGAAACTGTTCAGGTGGCGAGAGGTATTGGTCCTGATGGAGCGCAGCCTCCTGCCAGAGGGGAGGGGGGCGAACAGTTTGTGTCCAGGGTGGGAGGGGTCGGCCACTATCTTTCCTGCCCGCCTCAGGGTCCTGGAGGCTCTTTGCTTCTTTCTCAGTGATCAGACTTTTGCTCTCGCTGCAGCTCTTCTCGTTTGCGCTCCTTCATTTTTTGTTTGCGATTCTGGCACAAACATCCCAGGTGGGCGGGACTTTCAGGGGTGCGTCTCCATTGGCGACTCAGTTTTTGAGTGACAGCCCACTACACCACAGATCGTACGGTGCAACCTCTATGAGTGCAACTCATGCAGCAAACTCCGGAGACCACTCAGCCACGTTTGTGTGGGTGCCTCCTGGGGAGTTTTCATGGAAATATCGGACTCATCTTATGGATTGCTGTGCATTATACTTGTGTTGTGTAGTTTAAACTTTATTCCAGCTTTTTATATTTTAATACCTGAACACACTGCTGCTGTAACAAAATAATTTCCCAATTTGGGATTGATAAAGTGTCTGTCTGTCTATGTATTTTATAGATAAAAAAACATATCTATGTATTTTCAAGCTAAAGGGGATACACAATATACACTGTATACTGTTGACATTACATTTCAAAAGCATATATGGCAATGTTAAGCTATGTTTAGGACGAACAATTAAAGTCTGCTTTAATTTAACAAATTCTACACTATAAAAGTGGCAGATTTGTTTATTAATCAGACCAGACCTAGGTTGCATACCAACACAATTAGGAACATCCTCACATCTTACTATGTTGGTCTGAAGAGCTGAAGCATTTATTCCTAAACAATGGATACAAACTGTGTTGCCTCATTTGATATCCTGTGAGAAAATGAAATACATTTACCATTAACCTGTTTAGCCCTGAGCCTGTTTTTCAGGTCACAGGCTCGAAAATGACATTCCCAGAACAAATGACCATATCTTCCCTTCTAAAAGGGTTAAATTAATAATATTTTTCCTCAAAGTAATGATAAACCTGTGAGTTGGATGTAGAAGAGTCAGAACAATATAGATGTTTTTTATTTTAAAGAAAATTCAGATTGAACATAGTAAAAAACTGTAAATTATAGTGTCCGTCCAACATTTCTTTTTTACTTATAGTGAAAACTACCCTTGGATGATGGTAAGGTAGACTAAAAGCTTTAGGAATCCAAAGTACAACATAGAATAAGTACCTTGTATCAAGATTGATGCAAAACAAGTGACATTTTACCTTTTTAGAGAGGTTTAGCCAAAAAAACTCCAGGGTTGCGGTCGGATAATCCAAAAATCAGCTCCTAACGTCTAACCCTATCTCCTATTCCTTGACCTCTGAGTGAAACGTCACGGGGTTAAGGGATAGTGGATAGGAGAATTCAAAAGGACTTAGGAGAAGAGACCGCGGTACTTTAGAGAATCCGAATGCACTTTCACTATCCGACGTGTTTATGATGCGTCAGCGGACGTCATAAATGTGCGTCTGCTGCTGTGGGGAAACTATGGAAACTACAGTTTTCTATACAGCGGACTACAACATGGATGTATAATAAGAACGAGGGACTACTGTAAACTCATCTAGAGACTCTGCACCGTGCTCTGATGCTGTTGTTTTATGCTTTATGAACGTGGACAACAGAGAAACATATTCTTCATGACCAAAGTTGGAATTGAAATAAAAAAGGAAAGTGAAACTTATGCTCGTCGCCCTCTCCCTCCGGTCCACATTAATACAAATGATCCCAATACGTATGATTGTATGAACTATTAAAAGATCTTAAAATCAATACAAATGTATTTATTATAAACGTTAGTCCTTAACATCTATCACTGTGTATATCACCATTCAAACATCTTTTAAAAGTTGAACAAACTCCACACAGCTCAGTAAACACTGTGAAATGTTGACTTTATTTGATCATTTCAGTAAAAACTAACGTTCATATTTCTCTTTTTGATTATAATACTGATGAACGTTCAAAACAAAGCACTTTGGCAAGTTGCTACCTACGTTTTAAATTGCTTTAAAAGCACCGTAACTTTCATGATATAATTTATCGGTCATAATCGGTTGTTTCCGTGAACGGCCGAATGTTGTGTGACGGCAAATGCTGCGGCTGCAAGGTATTGTGGGGCAGCATTTTCTCCTCTCCTTTCGGTGAGGGAGGTCCAGTGGTTCCTGAGCTAAAGGAGGTTATAAAGGAAGTTTGAAACCTCCTTTCCTATCATCTTCTAGAGAATTCGAACAGCACTTATCATGGCTGCCACTGAGGGACTTCCGGGTCATTTTCACTCGGTTAGGAAGGTTCCTAAGCTAAATTGACTATTCGACTGCAGCCCACCTCCGAGGTGATTTGGGTGGAAATGGGGGTTTTACTCTTTCTCTGGAACCCATTGGTCGATTTTGGTGATTGACATCTCTTTCTGGCCGTTAGAGCCAATAGAATCGAAGGGGAATCT